ACTTTTTGTTTTTGTTTGTTCGTTAACAATGCTCAAGCTGAAATATTTCCTAATCAATGAACTACACATAAACTTTAACATAAACTAACTAAATATGTGAAAATTGATTTCAAATTATAAGCTTTTATGTTTATGTAATTGTTCATCAACACAAACCCTATGATTATATTTTTATGTTATATTGTATACAGATTATCAAAATATATAATCTCATTGAGATAAAAAATAAATAAGTTTATCTTTAGTTTATCTTAAGTAGATTATAGAGGTAAAGGGATAATAATCTCATTGAGATAATTAAAGATAATAAACTTATAAACTTAAGATAAACTAAAAATAAAGTAGAAAAGTTTATAAAAAAAAAAAGATGATAGATTTAAAATAGAAAATATATTTGTTCATAAAAATAGATAATATACTTAAGATAAACTAAAAGTCTCAAATTAATTTTTAATAAATTATAGAAATAATGTAATAAACTAGATAAACTAAAAATAAACTACAAATAAACTAAAAGAGTTTATAAAAGAAAAAAAGAAGATAGATTTAAAATAGAAAATATAAAATTGAAGGACCGAGCAACATAGATTTACTTTTTATTTTTTGCGCTCATAGGAAGACAGCTACCACAGCGAGCGGGGGAAGTTCTTTTTATTGGGTTATAAAATTGAAGGATTTGGTACAACTGTGATTAACTTTTGAATCTCATCATATTGGTATTAACGTTACTTTTACCCGTCCATATGTACTTTAGCCTCAATATTCATCTAACCCATTATCCAATTGCAACCAAGTACGCCATTTTATTCATTGGCTATTATCCAATGAATAAAGAAGACGTGTTCGGATTGGGCCTTCGGATTCTCACTGGCTATTATCCAACTTAAAGAAGACGTGTTCCTAACCATTCTCTATCAACCTAAGCAAAAAAGGGGCGAGGAAACAGAAACACAAGCGCGGGAAAAAATGGCGGTCGCGGCTGCTAGTGGGAGGGCGGTGGTGCTGTCACAGCCGGTGACATTCGTGACTGGTAACGCTAAGAAGCTCGAGGAAGTTCGGACAATCCTTGGTAACTCAATCCCCTTTCGCTCCGTCAAACTCGACCGTACGTTACTCTTCCACGCTCTAATCGTGTCCCCATTTTCGTTCGCAAGAGACATTTGTAACGTTTCGTTTGATACCGGATAAAGCAAATCTTGGTTTTCGTTTTCCTTGTGATGGACCTGGAAGAGGTGNTGTTTAACCTAGTATTGTACATTTTGAGCAGTGCCAGAGTTACAAGGCGAGCCCGAGGAGATTTCAAAAGAGAAGGCTCGTCTAGCTGCGAAGGAGGTACCCAAAAATGTGCCCATAACGTGTTTGTGGAAATGTTCAGTCATAGTGTATTATTTTATGGTGTTGATCGTTATTTTTTTTTTATTCATTAAAAAATGGAAGGTAAATGGGCCTGTGCTGGTGGAGGATACTTGTCTTTGTTTCAATGCCCTCAAGGGTCTGCCAGGTACTCATTAGTAATGACGTATTTGGAAGGATTGAGCATACATTCTTGAGATCAGTTTTAGATTTCATGATTTATGTCCGAGGTTACAGTACTGATTAGGGTTATGAATGATTTTGCAGGGCCATACATGTAAGTTTCATGGCTATCCATCTCCTGAGTTCAAGTTCCTTTCTTGTTTTCTTTCCAAGACATCATGAACTCCCAAATAGCTATTATTTGTGAATCTTATTGATGATGGGACTGGAAAACTGGATTGGGTTGTGAGATCTTGTTTGTGAAGGATGATTAATTATACAGTTAATCAGATATCCTTTTCATTGTAATAAATTGTTGTCATATATCTGATGGAGAATGCTGAAGAAAGATATCACCTTGGAGGGAAATGCCATTTGAACTAATAAGTCACATTATCATTGGCATCGCTGTGGTTACATCTTTTTATCCTAAAAGAGTGATTGTAAATACTGGAAAAAAAATAACTAAATAGCTGGTTTTGGGCAGTCGGTGAAAGGTATGCCGTCAGGCAGTCGAACACAAGTTTTGAATTCCATGGAGTTCAAACTAGGATTGATTTGCTGTCTCAATTGAGCACGTTTATTCATTTTGTTCACACAGTGAGTATGGAGATTGAAGCTTGTTGATTTTTCGGCTTTTCTCAACCGATTTAGACAAATTCTTCAGCTTGTAATGTAGATGAGATTTTAGTGGGAATTCAACTGAATGTAAACTCTAATAGGTAATTACAGTGAAAGAAAACAAAAAAAATATACAAGTAAAAAGAAAAATCTGAAATACCCGATAACTGGTAAGGGAATTATGTACTTGCATACATGCTATGCTTGTTATATGTTATATCTTGCTGGTACCTATTTCATGTCAGTATTCTAAATATCGCAAGACACTACTTTGATATGGAAGTTATGTGTTTCTAGTGTCTGTATTCCAAATATCGGAAGTGATGTGCTTCTATTGTTCACCATAAGGAGTTTCAAATTGTTTATAACTGCTGTAGATAGAAAACATGCCGCGAATTCAGAAAGAATTTGGAACAAAATTTATTGTTCTTGTAAAATGTCTACTGCATCATTTATTAATTCTAGAAGGTTTCAAAGAGAAGAATCATGTACTTTGTCGTTGCCCTTGTTTCTATCCACTATGGCATTATCTGTAACGTGATTGTTACTTCTTTTCAATATTATTTTCTCATTCCAAACTTTTATATTCTTCAGAAACATACTGACCTGTATTTCTTGTTGCAGCAAGTGGTTTCTGCAGAAGATAGGTCACCAAGGTAAGGTGGATCGTCTTTCTATGGATACGTTTTCCTCCAGCTTCATTTCTTATGTTAAATTCTTTTTTTTTTTTAAGGTCTGAACAATTTATTGATGGCATATGAGGATAAGTCGGCGTATGCTCTCTGTGTTTTCTCGCTTGCTCTTGGGCCAAATGCAGATCCAATTACTTTTCTGGGTAAAACCCCGGTATGCTGCTTCCAAAAATAATTTAATTTTAGGTTCTGTTCTAGGAATTTTAGTTTCTCTTTACGTGAGGATTAAAATAAAACAAATTTGGCTATCTATACGGAGAATCCATGTCTAGCCATGTGCTCAGGTTGATGTGTCCAACTGAAATTGAATTAAAACTTTCGATTCTTGGTCAGTCAAACAAAACAATAATGCTTCCCATCCTCTTCTTGAATATCTGTCTATATCTCGACATGATAATATTTCTGTTAAGTATCATCATGGTAATACTGTAGTTTATTGCTCAAAACAACATTTAAAGTAAGTTATGATACACAACAGTCCTGGCAATGCATTAAGCTTAACTAAAACAAGAAGTGACTCACAGTTTGGACATTTAAAAAGATATTCCTTTGTGTTTTCATGTTTTGACCTGTTCACTGATATTGATATCCAGCAAACTGAAAGCATTACATGTTCAAAATATCACAAAATGTTTTACTGGAAGATTCCGATTTAATAGTACTCGAAATTTTTACGCTCCTAGATACAGTCTGATTTTAACCATGTTAATTTCTCTGGTACTTTTATGTGGTAGATACATATAATCTATATCTATATTAATATAAAAGGACGAATGGTTTTGTAAAAAAATATGATCTATCTAAAAAACTCTTATTTTTGGTATATTTTTAATGTCAATTTAGTAATACACTACTACTCATCATATCTTATACTTTTAATGAACTACCTAAAAAACCCTTTGATATATTTTTAATTGAAAATTAGCAATACACTAATACACATCCTATCTTATATTTTTAATTAATAACTAATATTAATTAGTTAAATACTAATACATGAACAAAAATTTCACATCTCCTACAACCACAATATTTTCGCATCATTATTACGTGATATTCAATTAATTAAATACAACAAACAAAACATTCCACATCTGCTAAAAATCAACCACAATATTCTCGCACCAATATTGCTCACGAATTTGCTTTCTTTCACGTATCTTTCAACTACTTTCTTCTGTATCTCCTAAAAATCAACTCAAACAACAAAACTTTAAAAAGATATAGAATTGTAGTTTTGAAAAACGTACTTATTTTTCATATAATTTTGATGGTAAAATCTTAAACACATTTCCTAATTCTAATATATAAAATCTCTTTAAAAAAAACTGATCCAACAAGAACAGCATAATAAATACTTAAAGAATTTAAATATTTTCAACTATTTATTTATCTATCTACAATTTTAACAAAACAATAATGTTGGGAAGAAAAAAAACACTTGGTTGAGGGGTAAGTTGAATATCTCCTCTATATATTTCCGAACGTGTTGATCCTAAGTGGTTTCGGGATCCTGTGTGGCAAATTTTCGTGCTTTGGTATTTGACTGACTTGGATGAATTTTAATTTACTCTATAATTAGTTTTGGAATAACTATAAATAGACTAGATATTTATGGTTCTTTTTAAGAGCATTAATAATGTTATGTTTTCCGCTAGATGTGATTTATAAGGCATAAATTTTTTCCACAATCTTTCTTTTTTTTTTTTCTAATATTTCTTTTAAAATTATGAAAAAATTACTAAAATTAATTATAAGTAGATTTAAAAGTTAATAATTTTTTTATTCATCATCAATTTTTTATGCATAATATATCAAATTAATCATGTCTTGATTAGTTTTTTTTCATCTTTGTACATAATTGTATTTAAAACTAAATTGCAAATAAAATCTATATACATTATGTCCATGTCCATAAAACTATCATATATTATATTTAAAGTTGAATTGTGAATAGAAATCCACTATTGAATGTTAATAGAATTTAATGATTGAAAAATAATTATTTTATTTTGGTACTGCGTATGAGACCTTATTAAAATTAACATCTCATTTTTTAATCAATTTTTCGAAAATAAAATTAAATGAATATACGCTTCCTATCACAAAATTTGGTAGCAATCATGTCAAATATTTTATTAAGAAAATCATTAGTTATAACTTAATCAAATTTAAATATCTAATGTTTTGAAACCGACCTTTATGAAGCAAGTCTTTCACAAAATTTGAAGAGAATTATTTATTTAAAGGTGATATATTTTAAAATAAAACTACATTGATAGATATTTTTTTTCCATAATAATTGATTAAGAACGAATATACCTATTATTTCATTAATAAATTAATAAATTATAACTTAATAAGATTAAGTATATTCACTTTTCGGAAACAAACTTTATGTGGACTATATGCGTATCTCACAATATCGGAAGAGAATAACTTATTTGGACATAATATATTTTCAAAATAAACTTTTATTTAACAAGTAACTATCTGTAAAATTATTATTGTTCATGTGTACGCCTTATCACTTGCAGATTTTTTGGCATATAAACGATTAGCATAGTAATCCTCAAATTAAATTATATTTTGATTTATTTATATTTTGCAACTAAAAGATATTTATCTCATTTTTTATTAAATAAAAAAGATTTTAACCACATATACTTATATTAATTGACGAAATATCTTTTGAAATTAAGAGAGGTTTGTGATTCTCTTTCATCCATGATATGTACCATCTAGCATGTAATTAGGAGATTGTTTTTAAAAAAAAAAATTTAGAAAAAAAATGAAAATTTCCGATCCATGTCGAACCGACCCATTAGACCCGAATCTCTTAACCGAATTTCGGTTCGGTTCGGAACATAAATTTATTGGAACCGGTTTGGTTTTAGAGATCCAATTTTTGAGATCTCCGAAGTTCGTTTCTGAAGATGTATGGATCTCCGAACGGAAGGGACCCGTGCTCAGCCATAGGTAGGTATCAATTTGTCTATATGGGTAATATAAAAAAAAATCAGCAATTTTAATGACACGATTACTTATTTCACAGAGATCTTCATGAATTGTTAGTAGAAATATCTTATAAAGATATCATGAAATTTAACTATATGTTTCGCCCAAATATTCTAAATGTTCGAAGAAAGTAGATGTTTTGTCAAATGAATTAAGAAGAACTATTGCTGTATTGGGCTCCAACATGTATGAAAGTTTCTTATGAGAACGTCTAAAGTAAACCAACTCTTAAATCATCTAACATAAATAAATAAAAAAAAACTAATGCTCTTTTTTCCTTAAGGACTCATTTTTTATATAATTTTGTTGTGGTAATAATATGTTGTTATACTTTTCTTATTAGGACGTCATCATGTTATTTTTGAAAAAAAAAAAATTAATCAGGAGCTCATTTCTTCTATGTTTAATAAATTAATTGAATTATTTTACTAAACTTATTTGACAAAAAACATTCATTACACCACGTGCACTTTACTAGTGCTAAAAAAGGTTCCTGTTATGTAATTTGAATGGTTATATGGAACAATTGTATATTGGTTGGCTGATTTGCAGCCTCTGACGTGGTGAAGCCTATTCTTTAGGATAGTTGCCAAATATTATCATTTTTCCTTTAAAGAAAATGCCAAATGGTTTTTCCACGTGGGTTTACAGATGAAATCTCATTGTCTTTGCCAAACAATGAGCTCTGATCTCTATATTCTAGAGCCTTGAGAATGATATATATGGGTGAAGCACCTTTTTCCTCTCTTGGGCCCATATTCTATGCTAGGCCTCTGCATTTAATTGGTTGTAGGTTAATTTGGCCTCATCGTATTGAGTTGTAAATGTTATTTTTAATGAGTGTCTATTTTCTGTCCGATCTCATGTTTCACCAGTCTAGGAGAACATCAGTGATATTGAGCTGGAAAAGGAGAATTCCAATTCATTGGATGTAAATTTAAGAACTAATTTGTGTGATATTTTTTGTGTAACGACTAACGATCCCAAAACAAGAAAGAAAAAAAGAGAAAAAACCTCAAAATTGATAAGAATGAGTGGTGAACTTGCAGTTTTTATGTGTCTACCAAGGTTCAATGTGATAGGAACTGTTAACCCTGCATGGCGAGTTGCCCTAAGAACTAAAATGTCCAGGAAGTCCTAAAAGGTTGATTGATTCCGTAATTCTTTTTATTTTATTCAGATTCAGTGACATAATCATTTACTACAATGCCGTGAATCTGATGTGTTTAAGAATCACAATGTTATTGTTATCTGCAAAACTTCTTTAGCAACTAATTCTGCTCATTCAATACGAGCCACAATTATAATAACCAATTTTATGTCTGTAGAATAAGAAATCGAGCATATCATATATGCAAACAGGATTCTAGCTCAAACCGTCTAAATTCTTAGCTTGAGCTGCTGTTAAAGATCAATCTAGCTTATTTTGAGTCTATCTTGTTTCAGAGTTGGTCTGCAGAATCAAGATGTTATCAGCTCTAGTTTTCTTTCACACCTCCATTTTTGTCATACTGAAGCTTTTTGGGAGACCTTGTGAGAGGTGACTTTGCCAGTGATAATAAAAATTCCCTTCAGTTTGAGTTCATTCTGAATTCAATGAAGAATTGTAGGGTTATATGAAAATCAGTTACTTTTGAGATGGTGAAATCCTGTACCATTTTCCCTACACGGTCATGTTAGTTATTGCAGAAGCTGCATCCCTCATTTTGAGTTTTCCATTAGAGCCTTTTTTTTT